AAAGAGAAAATTGTTAGTTTGTGGCCTTGATGCTCCGATGACTTGACCATACTTCTGACCAATTTCTCCAGCTCTACTCAAAATTCTTGGTTGAACAACCTTTGAAGCTTCCTCTTTGTTGATTCAGGGGCGTTGATCTTTTTGGTACTACCAAATATCATGGTGCGACTGATGTCCCAAAGGATAAATTTTCCTGTTGAATATTTTTTCATGGCTTAAGAGACTATATCGTGTTCCTTCACGAGTTTTCAGTGAAGATTTGAGGCATTTTTAGTCCTTGCTCGAGGCATGTCAACTCGGATACTCAGCTTTACTTTTGGGAACCCGTAGTAAGTTTTGCAATCTTTTACCTTATTTGTCAAGAGATTATACCGAAAAGACTAGAGAAATATCAGGTTTAAGAGTGAAAAAAAAAATTGGATCAAGAAAGACTATAAACTTAAGGAAGGGCATTCCTTTTGAAGAAAAATGAGAAAGAAAACTTATCTGGAGGCATATGTCGACTTTGAGTGAACCATGACATGCACTTTGGACGTGACCCCGGATCCACTTGAGTTGTCTAATTCTCAAAATCTGAACTATTATCAATTTATAACTGATCTATGGATTCTTCATGTAGAGGTATCGAGAAATGGTGTTCTTTACAGATTTCTCCCAACTAGTCATTTTCATGATGTTCTCTTCTTTTATCTTAAGGTGCCCTGCAAGAGTTTTCACCGATAAGATTTCTCTATTGTCGTCTTATGGTGCCTATAAAGGTTTTCACCGATAAGACTTTCTCTTTTCTCTTTTTTTTTTTTTTTCGACTCGACAAAGTTGTCCTTGATGACGAATTGTCCATGCAAGACACATCGAATTTATCATTCTCAGAGTTGATAAAAAATGTTGGTTGCTAGAATAAAATCAAAAATGAAATCAATTTGACTCTATTCTATCAAAAAAGAAAAAAAAAGAAAAAATAAAAATGCCCTAGTTTTCTATAGATACTGGAATATTGATTATTATTATTATTATTATTTTTTATTTTTTTGGTATGACCGAACCCCAAAGGGTTGCCTACGTATCCTTTCGGAATCAGGTCAAACGTAGTTCAAAATATTTCAAAGAGAGGTTTTTTTTTTTTCTTTTTTGGTTTTTTTTTTTCTTTTTTTTTTAAGAGATGCCTTTGTTCTCTCAACCACAAACTTGTCATAGTATCTTAGAACGTATTAGATGTAGTATCTTTTGACTGCGTCCGCATTAACAATTATGCTTGTGATTTTTCCCTCCACATCAGTAAGGTGTAAGGTTCCTTTGGACAACACTTCCTTGATAAGATATGGACCTTGCCAATTTGGGGCAAACTTTCCCTTGGCCTCTTCTTGGTGCGGGAGAATGCGCTTTAAGACCAGTTGACCTACTTCAAAGTGTCTTGGGTGCACCTTTTTGTTGTATGCACGAGCCATCCTTTGCTGATAAAGCTGACCAAAACAGACGGCCGTCAATCGCTTCTCATCTATTAATGTGAGCTGCTCTAATCAGGTTTAGACCCATTCAGTATCTTCAATTTCAGCCTTGACAATAATTCAAAAAGATGGAATTTCAACTTCCGCTGGTATCACAGCCTCAATCCCATACACCAGTAAATAAGGAGTTGCACTAATCGAGGTGCGCACTGTTGTGCGATATCCTAAAGGTGCAAAAGGCAGCTTCTCATGCCATTGTCTAGTGCCTTGAACCATTTTCCTGAGAATCTTTTTGATATTCTTGTTGGCTGCCTCCACAGCTCCGTTGGCCTTTGGTCGGTATGGAGTAGAATTGTGATGCGCAATTTTGAACTGCTCATATACCTCCTTCATCAAATTGCTATTAAGGTTTGCAGCATTATCTGTGATGATAGTTCTTGGGATACCAAAACGACAAATGATGTTTGAATGGACAAAATCCACGACCGCCTTCTTAGTGACTGCCTTGAAAGTGATTGCCTCTACCCATTTAGTAAAGTAATCAATTGCGACCAAAATGAATCGATGTCCATTAGAAGCTTTTGGCTCAATTGGTCCGATGACATCCATTCCCCATGCAACAAAGAGCCAAGGAGCGGCCATGGGGTGCAACTCTGAAGGAGGTGAATGAATGAGATCACCATTAATTTGACATTGATGACAGTTTTTCACAAAGCGAAAGCAATCCCGTTCCATGGTAAGCCAGTAATATCCTGCTCGGAGTATCTTTTTCGCAAGGACATATCCATTCATGTATGGTCCACATACCCCAGCATGTATTTCATTCATGATCTTCTCAGCTTCTTCAGCATCCACACATCTCA